ATTAATAAAAGATTTAAAAATTTTTGAGATTAATTACTCTTGACATATATATAAATTGATTAAAGAACACCTCAACTGTTTTTTTTTTTTTTTTTTTTAATTTACAATTGGGGTGGGGATTCGAATCCCAACTCTTAATTTGAAATATATACTTTATAAATTAATTTATAATTATTAAATCATGAGATTTAGATGTACATACTTTCATTTTTAAGATTAGCACTCATGACTCGTTTTAATTAGTTATAGTTAGTAATTTGTTTTTAATATAATAAATAGTTAATTTGTTTCTATTTATAATAGTTTACTTTTTAGGGTGTATAATAGAAAGCAGCATCCCGCACAAATTAACATTAGTTTTGAGACGAATTTCATCATCTATTAGCTTGATATTACAGAGGTAAAAGAATTGTTTGGATTAGTTATTTTGATACAATCACAAATTAACATTAGTTTTTAAATTAATTTAGTCATCTATTAACCCGATATTACAAAGGTAAAAGGGTTATTTGAATTAGTTATTTTGATACAGTTAATAATTGATGGTTGATAATTAATATTTAACAATTGATAATTATTGTTATTTGTAATTTAAAATATTTAAATTATTCGATTCAAAACCAACAACTAATAATTGATAATTGATAGCTATTTTGCATCATCTGATAAAACAAACACTCCCAAAGTTTGTCCAACATGCTTATTCGAAGTATAATAATGTATAGAGGTAATTCTTTCTAAAAGGGCTTTAACTAAGAAAACTCTCATTTACAGACCTAGAGGTAATATGACATACTTGGGGACACCTCAAAACCTCTGATTCCCCAAAAAAAGCGAAACATTTGATAGTTGGTCACCGACGAATTAGCGTAAGCATCAGAAATTTTCAGCCCTCTCAATAAACTACCAGCTCTCTAGTAAAAAAAATTTTTATTTTTTAATTTTGAATTACATAATACATAACAATTCTTTTTTAATCTTTTTCTTATCCAATTTACATATCTCCAATTTAAACTTAAATTTTTTTTAATTAACTTACAAAAGGAAAAAAAATCGCTAAACTGCTTAAGAGGTTGGTATCTATGGGAACAAAATTGAAAGCTGATGATGATGGTGGGATCCGGTCTCACAAGTACTTTAGTGGGTCAAAAGATTGATTTCTCTCAAGGCTTGAGGTGCTGCACTTTTATTGCTTTTGGCTTGAAAATAAAATCATATCTTCTGGCATTATTATATGTCTCATTTTTCCTAGCCAAATTGCTGAACTTTAATCATTCGGTCCAAACAACCTTTTCCTTTACATGAAAGCTTGTTAGGTCATTGGTAACCATCTTTGGGTTGGTCATTTGAAATTTGACAAATGCTAATGCTTTTTTTTTTTTTTTTCCTTTCTCTGAAC